TTGTTGTTGCTGATCTTGTTCGCACACCTTGACTTGGATCACCTATTATCTGTTCAACAGGATGTGCTCTCGTCCACTTCCTCTCATGAGCTAGAGGAGTTGGAGTAATTATTGGTTGATCTGAGTCCTGATATGAGTTTGAAGGCTCTGGGGCAGCTGTGGTGTGTAGTGGAGATGATTCCGGACTTATGGCAAAGCCGTGATCATCCACACCTCTGGGATTGGTTTGAGGGGTTGAGGGTGTGGATGGTACGTCATCTGGTCCTGTGAGGAGCGGAATCTCTGCTGTTGGAGTTGATGTTGACTCTGGAGTGTATGCAGGAGGTGGAGATTGTGAGTTCTCGTAAAAGTTTCTGAAGAGAGAGTCGAGAATCACATCGTCGTGTTCGGTGTTTGGTTCAGCTTTATCAGAAGCTACTGGTACAGCAGTGGATGGATCGGTCTGGAGATGTTCAATAGCAAAGTCTGCCATTTCATAGAATGTAACGTTTACACTCTCGATGACAGTCCGCTTGTCTCTGAGATAGACTCGGTAAGCTTTGGATTGCAGTGAGTAGCCAATGAACACGCCTTCTCTGGCTTTGGGATCCAGCTTACTTCTCTCTGTCCGATCATTGAGTATGAAGCACTTGCAGCCAAAAACCTTGAGGAAAGAAATATCAGGAGTTTTGTTGAATAGGATCTCATATGGAGTCTTGTCGAAGCGCTTGTGGATGAAGGTTCTGTTCTGAGAAGTCAAATGTCGAGACCAGATGTCGAATCCTTTTCTCGAAATCAAGATCTCGAAATCCTAGATGTCGAAATCCTCAATGTCGAAATCCTGCAACCTGTAAAAATCAGATAAACAAAATCTGAAGGTAGTTTCCTGTAGAGTAGAATGTCGAGATCTTCGGGTAAAGTTTTCAGCTCGAAAAACGTAGCAGAACCTGTGAAAAAGCAGGATGTCGACAACCCCTGCTCGAGATATCTCGAAAACTGAATTTGCGTAAAACACAATCTGAAGTATACCCTTTGATCGTTTTGAAAAGGCGATTCCAAAGGTGAAACTTTTACAATTTTTGAACAAGAAACAAATTTACAGAGCAAAAAATCGACAGAAAGAACTACGTTAACAAAAATAGAGTATTCTGCATGAGTTCTTCTGATCGGTTCTCGATCGGCTCTGATACCAATTGTTAGTCCCTGTTTCTGTAACAGCAATGAATAATCGATCTAACAAGGAAGATTAAACGTAAGGATGAACACGGAATGAATCACCGTAAAACCTTCTTTGATAACCCGTGGAAACGTACAACAGAATGATATGCGTAAGGCTATGAATAATAAGTACGACGTTCAACCTATTCCTAAACCTCGGCTCCCTTTTTATAGGCGAGGTTTAGGTTAGGCGTACCAAGCTTTTAGCCTGTTTAAATGGGCCTAACACTTGGCCTGATTTCTATCTAATTTATGCACTATTTAAATACAAGGATTAAATATAAAGCTAATCTATGACCAACTTGATTCACAATTAAATATCTCCAACATATTTCCTTAGTCCAGTCCGGTTCTCCTTATTTCGACCCAGCTCTCTTGATTCACCTATAAAAGGTCTCCTTCTTCTCTTCTGGAGACATCTTTTTGCGTCATTTTGAAACCCTAACCACAGAGAGGCGAGTTAGAGAGCTTGAGCGTTGATTGAGAGGGAAACTTCTGATTTTTCCTGTTAAGACCTGAGAACACTTGAAGCTGAAAAAGATGAGAAAGGCTAGAAATCAATCGTGTGGCGAAGCTTAAACGCTGGGCAGTTGGTTCGAATCCAAGAATTTGCACTCTCCTAGGTTTTGGAAGCTTTGTTCGGTTATTTCTATTCCTTTTATTACTTTTGTTGTCGTGCTTGTGTTTTGGCTGATTCTTGTGTGTTAGATCTTATTATCTTTTCTGATCTTGCTTTGCAACCATCTTTGTATTCAAACTGTTTTGAGCTAGTGGATTCTTGGGACCGGGTTTCCCCTGTTGAAACCCCGCGGAGTAGAATTTATCCGAATTGCGTCAACATATCGTGTGTTCATTTCTTTAATTTCTGTTTTGGTTGAACTTGAAGTTGTATCCAGTATTTTGACTGTGACTATTGATATAATCTGAGAACAGTTGGCAGTAAATATTTTCTGCGTGTATTCAAAGAATATCAAAGAAAGTATAATCCTAAGATAATTGTTATCGTTGTACCTCGTATTTGGGGGGACACTGCCTAAGTGGTCATCACTAAAATGGGGTATCTCTATTATTATTGTGTATATCCACTTTCTACCGTATCAGATTCAATTATTTTTATAAGAGTTTTTAAATAAATCAAGGAATCGTATATGACTCCAATACAAAATCATATATAATCACTTATTATGATCACTTATTTTTAAAGTAAAGTGAGTTATAATGAAGGATCTCATTATGCAAATGAGTGATTACAGTGATGCCACACATGAGATATGGAAGGTGTTTGGTTAGTGAGTTATAATGAAGGAGCCTTTTGACGGGATCAATCACCTAAGAGAAGTGTTTGGTTGAATGACTTTTTCATTTGATTTTTTTTATCTCAAACAACATATGAAATGCTGTAAAATGTAGCGTTTGCGCGTGGTTGTTCCTTATTTTTCCTTTACTACCCAGCAGCCCATGCCCCTTGCTTTCCGAGTTTCCGTATCTGCCTCCTCCCAGTCTTCTATACATCAAAGAGAAAAACCACTCCCACTATATTCAACTTTCTACACGAGAGAAAAACAACACTGCACGTTCAAGTTTTGTGCATTATTAAAATATACCATGTACTTTTTAATCTCAATAACAATAACATTATTATTATTATTATTATTATTATTATTATTGAAGCTAAAAATTATTTGATGTCGTTAATAGTCATTTAACGAGTTAATAACTACTTGTAAACGGCTATTTAACTAAATACAATTTTACGAATTGCTAATATTATCAGTCAATCAAAACAGCTAACAAAATCCATTGTTATGAATCAACCAACACAATCAGCCAAAATTCAATTGCCGAACACCCCATGTTCCATAGAGGAACCATATATGCCTCCGTGGAATGTGTAGTCCAATACATGAGCTAAACTACCATTTACACCACAAAGGATTGGGTCGGCATGTTATGGTTCAGGTTTTTTAAGCAAAAAATGTTGGAAAAGTACGGAAAAAGTACTTGTGGTAGAACGCGTTTTCAGATAGGGTCATGTGTTTCATTCTTTATCAAAGTGGTTCATGTGTTTGAATTCCGTTATCACAAGAGAATCACGCCGTTAAAAACGCCTGAAAAAGTAACTCCGATTTTCAAAAATGTCCAAAATATTAAAAGAAAAATACCGGAAGGTGCGTCTCAATAGGACGACCGTCGACCGCTAGGCCATCTTTCTTTTTTGTTTTCAGCCACCCTTGTCACCGTAAAGTCCATCGGAAAGTGATATTAGCGAAGTCATTTTTAAAAAATAATTCAAACAGATCTGAAAAATCCAAAGGCAAAGGTGATTTGGAGATCATCTTGACGAAGCGCACCTTTCAATATTTTTCTTTTAATTATTCGAGCACTTTTGAAAATCAGAGTTACTTTTAACGATCTTTTTCAGACGTTTTTAACGGCGTGACCAACTTGTGATAACGAAATTTAAACACATGAACCTCTTTGATAAAGAATGAAACACATGACCCTATCTGAAAACAGGCCCAACCACAAGTACCTTTTCCGTACTTTTCCCAAAATGTTCTAAATCAAAACCGACAAATCCTATGCAACTCTGAAGCAAAGTGATAATAGTTTAATTTATCCCTTTTCAGTTTTCAATATTGCTCACATAATATATAATACTAACTGACTATTAGAATACACACTAACGCTTAGTGACGGTTTGGTAGTTCACACATTAAAACTTTACATGCAAAAATGATTGCACATAAACTCGTAAAGTGTGGGGTTGTAATTAGTTTACATGTAAACCAAAAAATACAGTTTGACTATATATGTAATCTATTTTTAAATTACACACAAATTACACACGAACTCTATACCATGTTTGTTTGTAAACTAATGTTGCACGTGTAATATTTACACAAGAACATAAAATACTTAGGGATGGACTGAGCCGGTTCGAACCGACCCCGTATCCAACCCAAATCGCTACTGTGCAGTATCAGCCCGACCGACCAGGATCGGGACCAGGCTTTGGGGCCCGAGCCGGGGGTCAAATGGGGCAGGCTTCGGGATGTTATTTTAGTGTACCGACTAGGCCGGTCTGGGAGACTGGGACAGGTGTGGCCCAAATATATATTTTTTAGTTTTTTGGCATTGGACCACTACTAGGTGGGTTGGGCTGAGTGTTTTGGCGTGATTTGGGGATGACTGATGAGGGGATGGGGGTACGAATAAATTAGAAAAGACTATTTTTTAAAAAAAAATTGATCCGACCCGAACCGTGACTGGTTCAAACCCAAGCCGGTACCGAGCCTTCAGCCCAAATCCCCACTCCCGTCCAATCCCAACCCGGGCCCGGTCCATGCCTAAAAACACTTGCACAATCAAATAGGCTGGTTTCTAAAAAAAACTAAACAACACCTGCAGTCTTCCAATCTAGAGAATAAATCATTGTAGTAGCTTCTCTTGGAACGACGGGTGTAGACTATAGAGCAACGCAGATGGAGAAAGATATTTGATGATGTGGTTTACCAATTTTTTTCTTACTGGAGCAACACAGGAGGAAAAACGAGTTTAATTCATCGCCGGCAAGATTTTTGCTGGCCACCACACTCGCATCTTCAAAGGCCAGCTACGTTGAATATGTAATTCGATGTATTTATTCTCCCCATGTAAACTGTAAAGTATTTTACATGGTACAGCGTAAAATAATTTTTAAAAAGTGTCCTACTGTTCACATTAAACTGTTAAAACAAACAATGTAAAATGTTTACTTCCTCACATTTTGCACGCAAAGTGTTACTTTACATCATAACAAACGGGCCTTTAGTGTATATACTTTTCACTTTATACAATCCACAATCCTTCACACAGAATTTATTAATGTGTAGGAAAAATCAACTGTTACAAACAAATATTCAGCACAAACATTGATTCACATAATCACGTGCACAAAAACATACTCTGTACTTATGTGTGCAAGGTACACATACTAGCATAGTAGCATGGAAAGAAACATTGTGAACACACATAGCAATGAAGGTAACAGACATTAATTATTATCTGTGTAAAGAGTTTAAATCAACTGTGATGGAATTTTGAAAATGATTGTTTCTAACCCGACTTTACCTAAGCGTACAAAATGTGTAATGTGGTGCATTATTTATGTGTTGTTTTTCCTCTTACTCCATGCATCATGACCCCATAAGTGTAGTCATATAGAGATGACAGGCTATATCAATGGTCAAAACCCACACAGAACATATAAAGGTTAAGAAACTTAAGATGTAAAGCACATGCTGAATTGGTCAAATCCAGGCATAAATAGAAGTAATGGAATGTTGAACCCAGCCCCTCCACCAAGAACCATCTAGTCTAGGGCATAAAAAGAAATTTGCACATGCCAATAGTAGGCACATTAAGTGATGTACTTTATCTGTAGAAAATATAATTCAACTTCATTCAGAGAGCGTCCATCAGAACTCATTTCCGACCTTCCAACTTCTTCTGTTCTTTAGCTGCAGTGTAAACAACATTAAGTTGGACTACAGTTTAATGAAATCCCGAGTTTATGCTATTCAAATGCATTTTACTTTCCAAAAATACTCTACATGTTGCTTTGTTTATGGGTATTTTCATCCGATCAAGCACAACAATTTGTTTCCATGCAAGTGGGGCCATTGGAGGGAACTTGTTGAGCAGATGGATGAATATGCCCTTCTTATTTGGAGCCAAATATGCATATGGGCTCAAAAATTGTTCCATACTACATTGTTGATGACCCAGATTGAGTCTTGAAATAACAAAGTTCCATATTAAGGTATCATCAATGGACAAAATCAAATATTAACTCTACAATCTGGATGTGAAGGACTAAATTTGGTCAGATTTAAAGAATGCAATACCAGCCTTCTCCTCTTCTCGCTTTTTTGCAGCATCTTCTCTTTGTTGCCTTATCAGGGCCAAACGGTCTGCAAGTTCCCCGGTAAAATTAAAAGTTAGAGGGGGCGATGAGGACGGAAACTACTATTTACTACTTCCTCCGTCCCATTAGAAGGTTCCCACTTTCCTTTTTTGGGCGTCCCATATAAAGGTTCTCATTTCCATTTTAGGAAGCAACTAACAATCTTAAGTGGCAAATTAATCATTTGTATGTCCCATAAAGGTAATACATTTATAACATCACAGTTATCAATACTAACTACATTATACTCCGTAATATATACTTATTAAAATTATTTTTCAAAATATACTCAAAGTATTTTATTTAATTATTGCCTAAATAACCGTGTCGTTTTGCTATAAGAACCTTCCAACGGGACAGAGGTAGTAATTATTATAAGTTGAGCTTTTATTCCATATTAATCCTACACAACAAGGGATAATCTGAAAACACACATCAAACATGAAACTCCACCCTTTTCTGCCTGATCTTAAATTCAAAAGTCGTCTTCGTTATCAACACCTTAATACCAGCTACGTTATGGTCAGAGACGTGAAATAGTTAGTGACAATTTATTGTCCAAAGTTAGCTAAAATTATACACCTGAAACCTGACTAATTTTGGGGGGCAGAATCAAACACTAATAGGTACCTAAATCTTTCCTTGACTGTTCTGTTTTCCCTTGTTCTTGGAGCTTCATGTACCGTTCATGAGCTTTCTGTTTCTCTATCTCTTCCCTAATGACAATAAATTTTCAATACAGGATCCAAAATAATAGTTAAGAAAGGCGTACATTGTTTACAAATAACTCTATACTATTGTCAATACACTGATCATTCACACACCTCTCACGTCTTGAAAGTTCAGTGGTTTTATCGATCTGCAAAGCATAAAATAAATCTCATTATACAACACAGACATAGTTTAAAACTTTGATCCCCTATTAAATGGATTCTGCTAAAAAGCGAATTACAAAAAACTGTATTTTAAAGAACAATTGTACAAAGTAAAGCAGAAAGCAAGATAGAAAGAAGCATCTATCTTACATCCACATTTTTGGCTTTCAGATTCTTGGGCTTGACCAGATTAGGATTTTCAATCTGAATAATACCCTGAGTACCCTTCTGCTTCTATTAGCAATCATATCCATGTGAACATTGAATAAATGTTAATGACTTTAGCGTTGTCACACAGTCATGATAAGCCGAAAAACTAATTATAAGAAATAAAATAAAACATAAAGCATTAGAGAAAGTGCTTACTTCTGTTTCACCCTCAGATTCCTCAGATTCCTCTTCAGATTCGGGTATCTCATTTTCCTCCGCTTCAGCTTCATGCTGAATAAATGAAGGAAATGAAAACAAACTAAAATAAATATAAGAAAATGTCATGTTAAAACATCCTTTTATCTGTTATGATGAGAGAAATCAAATAAGTAATTAAACACACACACACATTATAATTACCCGTTTAAAAGTTCGAGGACGAGTAGAAGTACCAGCAACTGCAATACGGTCAGATAATATAAGTAATTGTTAGGCGTTCATGTCCCATGTAACTAAGAGAACAATTTTCGTCCATGTTAAAATCATCCTGAAACCTATATATGCTGCACTCAGACTTGACTAATATTTGGAAAGAACAATGTGAATAACACCATGGACAAATGAAGATTTTAATTATACTCTTCTTTCTTTATCATCATTTCGGGATTAATTGTATGTGCACATGATGCATAAAGTGATAAAACTTATGCTCGCGTACACATTTTTAAAATGAAATTTGACAGAAAATCATTCTTGTTTGTGACCCTAATCAAACCTCAAGCACCTATTACGTACATGTGCATATGCACGAACCACATCTAGTACTTTCATGGAAATGATGGATCTAACTCTATAATTTATTATGCATGTCCCTTGTTAATGAGACCTTGTATTTTGAAAATCCAAGTATCCAAGTGCATATCCTTTTCATTTTCTTCTAACAGCTGAAACATGACACCTCCCTCCAGAATGCTAGTTGTTAGATTTTACTACAAGTTTACTAAACAGCTTGTCAACCATCCTGAATTTCATGGAAATTTGTAAGTCAGCCTATAAAATTGAATCTTTTTTGGTGGACCAATTGGCATAAGGTGAGTCATTGACTTTGGTAAGGTAACATAAGAATAAAAAGGTAGTGTAAAGATCTCAATTGGCAACCTTACTGAAGAATTGTTGGTATGATCAACTGAATGAAATCTGCTAAATCATTGACTTTGGCAAGGCTGGGCAACACCAGTCCAAATCTAATGGATATGGGCTGGGTCAGACTGGGCTCAATATATAAGTAATTAACTAATGGGCCGGAGCTGGCTGCACTTTTTTAATAATATTGTAGCCCTAGCGTATCTATATAGATTGTCTTAATAGGCCGAGCCGGGCCGGGCTGACCCACATGGGCTAATAAGAAAAAGATCTTTATGTATCACGAAATACAATGTAATCAACTAAGTGGGTGAAAAAGAATTCATTACTCAAGAAAATGTGACAATAAAATAAAAGTTCAAATTTATCTATGGCTTATAAGTATTGGGCCATACATCAAATTTATCTATGACACACAAATACACACTTATTCTTTTAAACTAAACTTCTCAAGCTTTATCACAAACCTTTATCACCTAACAATCACCAAGAACTTTATTCTCTTACAAATCAGCTGAATGTCATCCAATCTGGTCTTGATGCAATATATACATAAGATATTCCCTTTCTTGATCTAATATTGTTTTTTTCTAGCTTACATTCTAAAGTTTACCAGTGCACAATATTTTGAAAATTAGTACTTCAATTATATTAGGATTCAACCTAGATCTTATTTCAAAAACTATATGGAGCTACTATTATTTTATATTACTAATTAGGGATTTAATATATTGTTGGGATAATGGGCCAGGCCTAGTGCCATCGGCCCGTTATCTCCGAGATGAGGCCCAACTAGGCCCAGGACGCAGTCTCACGAGCGGGAGTCGCCCCTTGCTCATTTACTTATTTATCGGGCCGGTTCGCCCATTAGCTTGGAGATGTATTATTAATATGGGTCAAGCCCACGTAGATTAGACTTTGGACTTATGATGAATGTCTATAAATAGGCCATCAACCCCCATGTATTCTCTACGCTATTTTACTATAGTGAAATGCTGCTAGTTTCTCTACCCGGGATATTTTCTACCAACATTGATGCTTTCATTGAGAGCTATCTCTCATTTTTCGGTAGGAACCGGTAGAGATTCGAGCAAAAATCAGATATGAAATTTTCCAGATTAGGTCCCAAGGATACACAGCCACAAAGGCCGAACCAACGAGAACCCAAACGACGAACGACCGGGAGAACTGAGCAACGGCAGACGCAGACTTTGCCTCACCTACTATCGGAAGTTCTGCCATCCCGTCCAATTTCCGGCATTAATGGCCGCTTGAGGTTCCTGGGATTGACGAGTGGGTCTCACACGTGACGCAGACGGAGCCTTGCCATCGCTCTCTATCTCCTCTGTCCGTACGAACCAAGGACTGCACAAGCTCTTTTCGGCCGACCTCAGCGACAGGGATCCATCCGCGACAGGGCAGCAACGCGGCGGCGAGGGCTTCACCTTCAACTCCGTCCAGCGACGGCCATGGATGGAGGCAGCTCGAGCGACAGCGGCAGTCGAGGGTCTCCCTCACGAGCATCAGACTTCTCCTCAGTTCGAAGCCTCATCCAAAGATGGGCACAGACCTCACCCGCTCAACAAAGGACAACCCTCAAAGAATAAAAATATAAATTTGAGATTTCTACAAAATTTTCTGAAATTGTAGGTTCATTGTGTGTGCCAACTGGTCGTGGTTCCGAAGCACAATCACGAGGTCGAGCACGCTAGGAGCTATCACCTCAGACGCTTGTATGCTCGGTGCCATACACCATGCACGTACACTCAGGACATGATGGATCTCGAAGGGAGTACGTGTTCCAGCAAGTTGAGCAGCCAAGAAGGAGGCCTTCTCGGGAACACTCGTTCCGAGAAGGAGGGAACAATTCATCTCATCACCCCCATCGACCAGGTAGGAGGGCTGGCTACCCCGGGAGACGTATCAGCACAGACGTACCAGCAAAGATGGGCCCTGAAGGGACGTACCGACACAGACGTACCAGCACGGACGAACACAGACGTACCGGCACGGACGGATCCCAAATAGAGTATGTGTCCCGGCAAGTTAGCCACGACAACCAGGAAGGAGGGAACGATTCATCTCATCACTCCCGTCAACCGGGTAGACAGCTGACACCCTGGGAGACGTATCAGCAAACATGTACCAGCACGAATGGATCTCGAAGGGAGTATGTGTCCCGACAAGTTGGGTAGCCATGGTAGCAAGGAAGGACGACTCGTCTTATCACTCCCGTCGATTGAGCAGGCGGACAGCCTTCCCGGACGGACGTCATGCTAAATCTCGACCTCACATACGCGAGAGGGTTGCAGAGTCTTTTGCGCAAGTTCAGCTCCGCGCTGGGCGCGCACGAGCAGAACTGGCCCCTGATGCGGTGAAAGATCTGAGGTTAAGGCTACACGAGCTGAGGAGAAAGATCGTCGGGGGAGAGCCATATGTGGCCGGCCGACCTCCACGTCCCAGAACCATGCACTGGTACCATGATGAAGCGTTGTTGACAAAGGGGCATAGACTTTGCAACGTAGAGCTATTACTCAAAGGCATGGAAGCACCGTTGTTGAAGGGTTACAGACCTTGCAACGCAGCGGCAGCCAGGAAGGAGGCCCTCCCGAAAACACTCGTCCCGAGAAGGAGGGAAACACCGTTGCTACAGGGGTACAGACTTTGCAACGCGGAGCTGTTACTCAAAGTCCTGGAAGCATCGTTGTTAAAGGGGTACAGACCTTGCAACGTGGAGCTGATCATCAAGGTCCAGAAGTCTCGTTGCTAAGGGGTTACAAACTTTGCAACGCGAAGCCATTCCACAAGGGCGTGCAGACCGCCAGGCTGAGGCAGAAGACGCCAAGCCGAGGAAGAAGGATGAATGAGGAGGAAAGAAAGAAGACAAAGGGAAGCGTGATGACCGGAAGACGATAACACTGACATGAAGTTTTCATTCACACCAAGCAGTATGGACAATACAACGACCATCACGTGAGGAGCCAGGTGATGATGCTGACAGGAGATATCTGGAATCAATTGTCGAATCCTAGAGACTCAAGGGGTACACTGGGTCACGGTCGTAACGGGCAATCTGCCCGTGATCGTCTAAGAGGTGAGCCGTATTGTACTCCGTTCACGAAGCTGACACAACTTCATGCTGGGTTGCAAGCGTTCCGGGAAGCCACCCGTGTTCTAGAAGCTTTGGCTCAAGGGTTCGAGAGGTTGACACCACAGGAAAAAGTGCATAAGCATTCAAGTCACACCATTCTTGTGGACATGGAGACATCCTCCGGATAATACGAAGACGCCCTATGATGCAGAAATTCACAGTAGCGTGGAAGAATCGTGGTCAAAGGGAACAAGATTTTACACGAAGGCGTGTAAGCAGCTTAGGCAGAGGACCTCATAGCCCATTACATCAACGAAGATACAAAGTATGATGGATGGTTAGCTTTGTACTGAACCCACCTTTGAAGTCGAAGAAATCCAGGTCAACCACGAGAGAAGGAACAAGAGATCAAATTCGGCGCGGTGCTCCCGATTGATCTTACAAATTGAAGACTACAACGAGGAAGCTTCTAGATCAAGTGTAGATTGGAGGACATTTGGTTAAAATCCATGAGCGGAGCACTACGAGCTTTTAGATCAAGTGCGGAGCACAGGGCACCTTGTCAGATTCTATGAGCGGAGCAATACAAGCTTGGAGATCAAGTGCGGAGCGCCGAGAACCTTCTCTAATCCTAAGAGCGGAGTACTGCAAGCTCGTTGATGAAGAGTGGATTGCAGATCAGCTCTCTCACATTCTATGAGTCTCATCATAAATTGTAGATCAAGTGCAGAACCGGAGCAACTCCTCAAGTTCTCAAATTCTTTAATTACTTAAAAAAAGTATATATTTCGTTTTTCAATCTTGAATTTGATGAGGTCCGACCTCACTTGGATTCAACAGGCGGCTAAAAAAAACAGAGAAAAGAGAGAGAGAGGGAGAAAAAGGATTATATATACATCACGCCCCGCTCTCAGTGTTTAGTCGACCACGGCTCGGCCCTCGAGCAAGGAAATGATCAAACTACTTTCTAAGTCCGGGGTTAGCTGCTCGGTCAGGGCAATTGTAAGACTGGCTTCCGGGTCGAAAAGGTATACGAGAGGTCGCGCCCCGAGCCCCTCTCGTACATCTATCGTCTGGCATTGCTGTCTAAACAGCTCGCATGCACGTATGATCCAATCAACGATGCGGCAACTATATGACCGATCTCCGAAGTGAAGGAATGCGAAAAGTTGTGTCCCGAGCCCTTTTTCGTACATCCGTTTTCTGACGTTGCTAGGCTTAGCA